AATTTTCGCATCTACAGTGTAATAAAGGATATTTTGACGGCAGGTGAGCAATTCATAGCATTATTTGACAGAATTCGAACCCGGGACAGCGAGGCAAGATTTACATTTTTTTAAAAATCATATTGCCCCAAGCAAGGCGTTAATTCCGCTAAGACGCAAGGGGGTTACTGGGAGTGGATGAGAATTAGAAAATTTTAGTGAGGAGAAAGGACACTAAAAGAACAGGTTTCAAGAAAACAAAAACGACAAAAATGACGTTTGAGGCTGCATTTAAATTTTTGAAGATTGTAGAAGTAAAGTGAAAAGTGAAAGAAAGGAAACCATTAAAATAGAATTAACGGTTACATTTAGCTATTTCAACACTAAAACAATAACATATAGTATAGTATAGTCGAGTATAAAGCTTAAATTCGCGCGGTCGTGGTACCAAGGAGTAGAACCTATTAGAACAAGTGCATGAAAATATTTAGAGAAAAGGCAGAGGGAAGCCACGTTACGGCGGTGGGAATGTGACTGAAGTCGAGATGCCAAGTCAAGACCGATAACATTACAGACCTTTCTTTGGATTTCTAGATACACCGACTATAACAGAAAAAATTTCCAAATCGTGTAACAGAAGGACATAATTGTCCATCCCACAAAATGTTTAATATTTAAAAAAAATCACTAAACTAATTGAATTTCTTTTTTTCTTTTTACAGATAAGACGTTTAGCCATTTGTCGTAAGAATCACTGAAATACTCTTTGAGTTACTGAACTGGAAAGAGAAAAGATTAGCCCTACTATGTCTTCACAACTGAGCAATGGTGAGAGGAAAAAAGATCATTCAAGCCTTCCTTCATACTCTCGCTTCCATCTTCAAAGCCCTTTCAAGAACCATCAGGAGAACGGTGAATAAGTTTAAAAAAAAGAAGGAACAGTAGAGAGGAAAACTGGATCAGGAGGTCACAAAAGGGATCATCATTTCAAATTAGAGCTAAATACATTCTTATTGGTCCAAGTATAGTTCAATAGTGTCATAAAAATCTCGCAGAATTCCAGTAAGATATCTTTAATCATTTCTAAGATACAACGGTTCAAAACTTAATTTAACAATTGAACAATTTTGCTGGAACACCCGATCAGCTGGGTGTTAAAGAAAATCTCGATTTTCGGCACTCAGTCTGCATGTTGTGTAAAGAAAATCAGAATGAAAGCGATTTTCAGGGATTGATGCAAGAATTACAGGCAGTTGAAGTTTTTGATAGCTATGATGTAAATGTATTACTAATGATTTTGTCTATAGAAATGCATTGTAAATTAGGAAAAGAGTGTCAGTAGTCGAGAATAAAGACAAGCCTTACAGGCAGATTATAGCTGTACAATATATAGTTTAAAGACACTGCAAATCAGAGTGAAAGGTATTGTCAGTGGTCATGAATTAAGGAAAGCATGACGAATCGATTAGGAGTAGAGTATATAAAATGTGATTTTTAAATTAAAAAAAATAATATTATTTTTTATCTGACAGATTTATTTCTCTTTGTATTTGAAATAGACTCATAATTTCTATTTATTATACAGTGTGTATTACGTGTATCGGCGTGCATCTTCGAGAAATCTTAGTTAAGAAAATACGTCTCCCTTGCGTTCAATTTTGTAGCGGAAGCCAACACAGAGAACAACACAATAAACAAGGTTCTAATTTTTTTTTAAGGGAAATACATTCTCTTCAATCAGATTATTTTCTCGAAAGCTTCATATCTGCCTAGTTTCTTATGCGAAACGTAAACAAAGCAATTTCTAAAGAATTAATGGATTTATTTTTAATCTAACATTTTTATTATTTCAAATGTTATTATAGTCGCATATAAAATAGACTCTCATATATATATATATATATATATATATATATATATATATATATCATATTTATATACCGGGTGTAAGAGCAAAATTGTCCAAATCGTGTAAAGGCAAAATTATTAGATTAAGCTTTGAACCGTTGTATCTTAGAAACGATTAAAATATCTTACTGGAATTCTTCGAGCTTTTTATAACACTATTGGATTCTACTTTGAGCAATAAAAAAGTATAATTACTCTTCAAGCTTAATAGAAGAATCATGATGAAATTGATCATCAATGAAAATGACATGTTCATTATTAATTAATCATAGCTAAAGATCGGAAGCTCAGTAAGGATTGAAATAAAGTTCAAATATATATATATATATATATATATTATTCGATGATCACTTTCCAACTTATCCAAAATGATTTTCGCCCTCTCTAACCTTCTAATTCTGTCCTGGAGTAACAAGGTGCCTCACAAGTTTCCCGTACGATTTCATTTACAAGTCTTTTTTCACTGCTCATTGGACTGTCATAGCTGAAACTCCTCTCACATGTGCCAAACATCTTATGGATTGAGTTGGCTCTTTTGTAACTGGCCTCTTTAGTTCTAAATTGAAATGATGATCCCTCTTCCTGTTGTGGCCTCCTGATCCAGTTTTCCTCTCTACTGTTCCCTCTCTTTCACACTTATTCACCATTCTCTTGATGGTTCTTGAATGGACTTTGAAGATGAAAGCCAGAGTATGAATGTTGGCACCATAACTGAAGGACTGAATTTTTCCCTTCACCATTGCTCATTTTGGAAGACAGTGGGGCTGACACAAAACCTGTTCTCTTTCTAGCTGAATAACTCATAGGGTTTTTCAGTTATTCTTACGACAAATAGTGCCAAGATGGCTAACCGTCTTATCTGAAAAGCTGTAAAAAAGAAATTCTATTAGTTTAGTGTTTTTTTTTTTAGATATAAAACATTTTGTGGGATGGACAATTATGCTTTTACACAATTTGGACAAATTTTCTGTTACACGCGGTATATTGTGTAAATGCATTGCTAACGTTCTTTTCTATAGAAACGCATTGAAAAATACTGACGAAAAAAATGTTAACGAAAAAAAAAAAATACTGGCTTTGATTTTTCGTATAGAAATGTATTGCGAATCAAGAAGAAATGGACTGTAGGTGTTCAAGAATTAAGACGCGCTCTACTGAGATCAGGGAGATGGTAAGTATTGTTTTTATTCGACCTGCGCAATCCCCCGTTTGTGATCTTTTCAATGGTTGTATAGTATGAGCCTTACCAGGGCGATTTTGAATTCAGAATTGTCCTTTTCCTAGGTTGGTTACCAATCATGGCCAAACAATCTAACCTACCATTTGCTATTCAAGCCACAGCTGGAAAAGAAGAGAGGGTCTTTTCCAAAAAGTGTTTTTTTGCGAAAATGAATGTAAACACTCCTGCCAATTTTTTCCGAACCGCTAACATTATACACACACGCACGCAACCAACCCCATGTGAATGTTGTGTTACTTTCCTTGTTGGCTTCCGGATTATGTAATTTAATAATTGTGTATTTGGGTAGCTAACCCTCTTTTATACAATTTGGGTAGCAAACCCTCTTTTATACAAATTATACGCCATGTCTTGTCTGTTGTTTTTAACGAAACTTGTATAAAAGAGGGATTGTGCCCAAATACACATATATATATATATATATATATATATATATATATATATATATATATATATAGTCAGCATATCTTTATTCAGACATGTTTCATTGAATATTTTTTTAAACCATGTACTTTCGATCTTTCCGACTTTTCCACGGCACCTTTCTTGATGAATTTCGCATCAACATCAAGAAACAGATTAGAAAGAATCAGTATAAAAATAAGGAGACACAATGTCTATATTATTCAATGAATATATATATATATATATATATATATATATATATATATATATATATATATATTAAGAAATATACATAATATCTTGCATTGATTGCACAACTCGGAGTATTTGTATGCGGATGCTCGGCCGTACATTTACCTATATTTATCCATTTGGTCACACATACACACACACACACACACACATACACATATATATATATATATATATAAATATTTGTATCTATAAAAATAATGTATATACAAAAAATATATTAGAATAATTGTCGGACTATGTACATTTCATAAAATATGATGTCATTTTTTACGTTAAGATACGCTTCGGGCAGATATGAGCGTCTGAGAAAAATCATGGGAAATTTGTTGTTTAAAAACAGTAATTTGACTTTTCTAACCAGACGCTTCCTCTATAGCTAAATAGTATAGCACGTCAGGCTATATATATATATATATATATATATATATATATATATATATATATATATGTGTGTGTGTGTGTGTGTGTGTGTGTGTGTGTGTGTGTGTGTGTGTATGCATGTATGCATGTATATATATATATATACAGGAGAGAGAGAGAGAGAGAGAGAGAGAGAGAGAGAGAGAGAGAGAGTGTGTGTGTCGTTAATGTCTGTTGGATTTTAAGTCCGACTGAAAATAGAAAGTGCTTTTTTCATTTATATATAATATAAAAGATATATGTTCAATGTATAATATATATGTATAATATAATCACATTTTAGTTTTACTATAGAAAAGTATCACACATAACTTTGCCGTAAAAATGCATTGTAAGTGATTTACTGGAGAACTTAATAGGTTTACAGTAGAAATGACTTTTAAAATCAGTGAAAAGGGCTTGTTATTGGTGAGGAAATAAGTCAAGGGTTACTGAGATAGCGAACCAAACCGTTACATGCTTCGATTGTATAAAATTGCTATACTAGTAGAAGAGTGACTTAAGACGAACTGCGTCGGACAATTCTTCGATGTTATTATGGTAGGAACGATTTCATTACAAGGAAATCTACTGATAAAACCTTATATAATCACGTCGGAAAATACGACTGGAAAGTTCTAATAAATTGTCGGGATCAGATTATTAAATGAAAAGTTTTATGTTTAGTTCGCTCTGCTGTTTTATTATAGCGAGCGAACAGATGTGTTTAAGTAAACAGATACGTCTGAGTCAAATATGAATTCGCTGCATCAGACTTTATGCCAAACATTTTTCGCTTTCAGACAGTTATCCGATGATTGATGTGGCTTCTTTTGGACTTGTAATTACGGCAGATAATTCTTATCTTTCCCTGCAACGACACCAATTCGTCCCAAGTACAGATTATTTCTCACTTACATTGGGTATGAAGACGCCAGTTGACCATTCATTAAGTCCTGTAGGTTTTCTTAAAGTTCCAGCAAAGTAAACACACACAGATAATTATTAAGGTGCTCGGAAAGTAATAACGTTTTTTTTTCTAATCTTTTCAACTCAAGCAAGGCAATAATGCTACTAAGACGCAAGGTTGCTGGGAGGGAAAGAGAATGAGAAAGATTTAGTGAGGAGAAAGAACATTAAAAGAACAGGTTTCAGGAAAACAGAAGATGTCAATTTGCATTTAAATTTTTAAAGATTGTAAACAGGAAACCGGAAGAGAGTTCCACAGGTGAGAAGTGTGAGAAAAAAATACTAAAATAAAAGTAACGGTTATATTTAGCTATTGCAACAGTAAAACACTGGGACCTAACTGCCAATCTAGTAGTACGCTTAAATTAATGCTAAGCATATAAGCTTAAAAACACAAGTTTCAGTTCTTTAAGTATTCGAATATTCGGTATGTCATTACGTTTTGCCAGAAAGGGTATAAAAACAATTCTTAGCCTAATTTTTGAAACTATTTGTTTAAATACTTTATTTAAATAACTTATCATTTATTAAATAATTTACTTAAATAATTTGTCTCGTCGTTATTTTTCCCAAATCCATTTAATCAAGCTTCTTAGGAATGTCATGCGTTGTTTATTTCTCGCCTTCATTCTGTCCTGTGAGTACCAAATTTTCCAAGCCCTCTTTCCTCAGTATGTGCCCTAGAAATTTCAATTGTTTCTTTTTTATGTTAATTATAAGTGTCATTTTCGTTTCCATCCCCCCTCCCCCCAAAAAACTCTGTCGTTACTCACATGTTTGGTCCACGGTATTCTCAGCATCCTTCTGTAGTACCACATAAATTATTTAAATAAATAAATTATTTAAATAAATTATTTAAAGAGATTGCTCAACTGTTACGTGATATCTGTCCTCCTATATGGCACTAAATACTAGACAATCTTTTCACAGATGAAAAAAAGAGAATTTAAACAGCAGAAATGTGGTTCTACAGAAGGATGCTGAGGAGCGAACACGTAAGCAACGACGAAGTGTAGGAAACCCAGCAAGTATCGAACCCACTACACAGCCGTAATTGCTCGAGGGAAACAAACTTGTTAACCATTACACAACGCCTAAAGACCCACGACGGTGCGTAAATGGATGGCAGAATAAGATTTAAGAGAGATAACCAAGCAATAATATTTATTAAGAACGCCAAGGAATAGGGGATTGTGGAGAACAAGGTAAGCAATGTCCTGAAGGGACACGATATTTAGAAAAAGATTTAAACTTTATTATTTAAATATTATTGTGGAGTTCCGAAAGTAATTATATTTTACTAGGAAGTATATAGAAACAGATGTAAGTTAAAATTATCGAAATATTATCAAAAATCCAATCACGTTCGCTTTCAATGACAGCAGCTCACCAGGATGTCATATAGTTGATTCTACCCTTTAAAGAAATTTGGTTTGGTTTGTTTTTCGACATATCAACCTCAATGGGTTAATTAATGCCGATAAGATTTTTATTGCTGGTAACTTTTTTTCAAAAATTTATTGTTGGCAATATTTTTTTCCAAAACTCTATTGCTGGTAATAATTTTCCCCTCAGAAGTATTGCTAGAAATTTTTTTTTTTTTACAATAAAGTATTGCTAGAAATAATATTTTTTTTTACAAAAAAGTATTACTGGTAATATTTTTTTTCTAAAAATGTATTGCTGGTAATTATTTTTCTTTTTTAAAAATATACTGCTGGTAATAATTTCTCCAAAAAGTACTGCTGGTATTAAAACCTATTTTTATACTTTCATAGTGTTTTGACCCCTTTTGAAGGGTTAACTATTTGCCCATAGCTGGGACCCTACAGTTGCTACCACTCTGGGTCAGGGTCGGCCTGAGACCACCAGCAATTAAGAGATGGTCCCACGCTCCTCAAAACCTCCTGATCAAAGGCCTTGCTGTCGGATGTAGTTTATCGTCTTACTCAGGACGCGGATATAGTTTATCGTCTTACCCAGGACGTAAGAAATCTGGGTTTTTCCAAGAAAATAAAAAGGTTTGAAAGACGATATTTTTGAATGTTCAGTTGATTATGAAATTTCTAACAAATGGAAATCCATCGGTGCTAAATCTGGTGAGTACTGAGGATACAGAAGAATCTCTCAGATTTGCGATCTTATTTTTTTTTTGCGTTCGTTTTGCAAAGAGTCGACTTGCATTTCCATATTTCTTTGTTTACTAAAATATGACATTTGTGGCACAGTGTTTCTATCAACCGATCAAGTTGTTGGCAATGAATGTCTACATTGATAGTCGTCGCATGTTCCAATAGTCGAACAAAGTCGAACCTGTCAATACCTTGATCAATGTCAACTTGAAGAATACCAGGCGATGTAAGCTTGAATGTGTAATGGATAATGCCTCGGAATTGTTAATCGGAGAGCGGAGTTCGAATTCCAATTGGATTCGTCACATTCACTTACACGCAAATACCCTTATGAAAGGCATAAATTCACATTTCCCCAGCTATAGATAAATAAATAAGACTTGTATCCCTAAATCATTAATATCTCCCACCATCAAATTCTTACAATCTAAAAATATTTTCTGGCTTTAAATAACCTGCAAAGGGTTGATAAGCCGTAAAAAACGGATCAATCAATCAACCAATCAAATGTTCCAATAGCTCGCAATGAACGACACCTTTCATATCCCACCAGGCACAAAGCAAGGAACTCTGTCGACAGACACTTGGTTTTGGTATTGGCAGTAGGGCCCGGCGTTGCCCGGGGATATAACAGTAAGAGATAGATCAAGTATCCACCATCATAAAGACTGAAAAATAAAATTGACAAAGATTATTGTTTAAGGTTGACGGACACGCATGTCTTAATTAGTTTTTTTTTTTTTTTTTTTTTTTACGAATTGGTCAAACCCAAACTCAAACAAAAACATTGTTTTCAATCGTTATGAGTCTCTACCGATTGAATAGAATTTTATTATAAACAATTGTCTTGTAAATAGAATTTTTAAAGCATTCTGAATGTAAAAATAAAGAAAAAAGTGTGCAAGACAATAAGAAACACTACATGCCAAAAAAAAAAAAAAAAAAGTGAAGTTTTGTTGAAATCGGTTGAAAATGTAGGTAGCCTTTCTGTAATCTTTTAGTTTTACAATTTATGATTTTTACTTATTGAATACAGTAAAAAAAAATGCATATTTTGCTTGTGGTGATTCATAATTAGAATTCTGATTTGAATATATTTTCCACTCGTTGTTTCTAATATAAAAGATATTAACTTTATTTGGATTTATTAATTATGATCTAACAAATCTTATTCATTTAGTAGCCTTTCTGTAATAATAATCTTTTACAATTTATGATTTTTACTTATTGAATACAGTAAAAAATTGGGCACCATGTGTATTTAAAGTAGTTTCCCGTTCCGGTTATTATTTTTAGTTAGGACTTGTGTATGTTTAGATTTCATTATCTTTCCCTAAAGATAAAGAATTTATTCCGATGTTTGTATTCGCACAATCAGTAGAGATCGTTAGATTATTGTTTAAGGTTGACGGACACGCATGTCTTTATTTTTTTTTTATTTTTATTTTTTACGAATTGGTCAAACCCAAACTTAAACAAAAACATTGTTTTCAATCGTTATGAGTCTCCCAATTGAATAGAATTTTATTATAAATAATTGTCTTGTAAATGGAATTTTTAAAGCATTCTGAATGTTAAAAATAAAGAAAAAAGTGTGCAAGAGAATATGAAACACTACCTGCCAAAAAAAAAAAAAAGTGTAGTTTTCTTTTATCGGCTGAAAAATATAGGAAATCCGCTCCCATATTTAAAGTAACCCACACACACAAACAAACCGATGTGAGTTGTCCCCCTTCCATTTTCACGATGTCTCTTAATCGTGTTTTCAGATTGATTTTGTGCAAAAACAATTATATTTTTCCCATTTTTGGCGCTGTTAGAACCACCACAAGGTAATTTTATGTAGCCCTGTGAAGTCTTGTTTAAATAGGTTGAAAAATGTAGGAAGTCCGATCCAATATATAAACGTTACACACACACACACACACACACACACACACACACACACACACACACACACAATCTGCGTTTTATAATAAGTAAGATTATGTTATTCATTTTTCGTTGACATGTAAAGCTCAATTTTCATCAGCTGGAAAAATACGATGAAAAAAATGAAAGGTTGACAGCCCTGGTTAAAAGGTTGGTGAAACGTGTTGATCATCAAGCGAAAGCTCATGAGGAAACTAAATTACCTCTTTGCTGGTTTTTCCAAATTCACTCGAGACGTTTGTGGACAAGTGAACATGACACATGACAAGTTTTTGCAGCAAATCTCTGGTGTTTTGATGTAGATCCAATTCAGTATTTGCTTTCAAATGGTTTTGATTCAGATTGTATCTTCTTTCAGACTGTTGGATATGCCATAGAGGAAATGTAAAAAAAAGAAGGAGAGTGGAAGACAGAGGGAGACGAATGATATAGAAAGAAAGAGAGAAAGAGAGAAAGCGAAAAATAAATTATATGTTTATATAAGTATGTATATATGCAGAAATAGAGTGAAAGAGATTGTGAGGGAGAATTATATATATATATATATATATATATATATATATATATATGTGTGTGTGTGTGTGATAAAATATAGATTTAAGGTATAGTATATTGATAGGTTAAAGTGCTCAATATCAGAGATAGACGATAGCATTTAAGTATGAAACAGACTGTCATCTCTGGGTGTTGACTTCAATGTCTACTTGTACACACACACACACACACACACACACACACACATATATATATATATATATATATATATATATATATATAGATATATATATCTATCTATCTATCTATCTATCTATATATATATATATATATATATATATATATATATATGTATGTATCTGTCGTATAAAGTACAAATGTCAGTGTGATGTTGAATGCGTAGGACTGACTAGTCTGAGGTTTGAGACCCGTATGTGTCAACATAGTCCGGCTAATAGAAAATCAGTTAATCTATGCCTTTCTTCTAGGACGACTCACTCTGCGCATGATTCCGTAATAGGTCAACATCTACTTGATAATCCCGACTGTGTCATCAAATGTGTCGATAGTTTTTTCATTGTTTTGCACAGAGCCCAGTCTGTTCACCATGTTACTGAAGCAGTTTACATTTTTATATCGCCTGGATCTGTGTAAGCAGAAAGAACATTTCATTCGCTCTCTACGTTTATTTGAAAGGTTCTGAGTGAGAATGTTCTTTTTTACACTAACTTGAAACTGTTTATTTTAATTGTTTCCCTCCTAAATATATATATATATATATATATATATATATATATATATATATATATATATATATATATATATATATGCGAATATTATCCCTTGTTTTATCGTGTGTTTTTTTTTAAAAAATAAAGAATATATATCTATAGAGAGACAAAGTGTGAGATAGAAAGAGATTGAGGTAGAGATAGGCAGAGAATGAAAAGAGAGACATTCAAATTATATACAGTGAAACCTCGGTTCACAAATTTAATTCTTTTCTGGAAGCTGTTCGTGACCGGAAATGTTCGTAAACTGAAACTATTCTGTTATGAGGTTTGTGGGCTTTACTCAGATCAATCAATCGAATGTGATCTACGTTAAATTTAAACTAAGCAGAAAATTAAGAAATCATTTTTCTTATAAAAAACAATTTCTTAATTTTTGCTTCTTCGATTAGTTTAAATTTAACGTAGGTCCTCAAAGTAACACCCTAATTTAGTGGAATTCTTATATACGATCCATTGTTAAAAATGCAGTTAAATGATCGGCTCCCTGTACCGCTTCAGTAAGTACCTGATTCCTCATATCTTCTACCTTTATAAGAGCCGGATATGGCTGAAAATGGTGTACATTTGTCATATTTGGGTGGGAGCTGCCCAGTCCCCACTTACCAATCTTGATAGAATTCAAAAGGGTCTACAAGAAGAATTATTTCCACACCCTCCACCTCAAGCACAGGCGGGATGTAGCGAGTTTCTCACTGCTCTATTACTACTTGTATGGAAAGTGTTTGGCCGAACTACATTCCTTGGTCCGGTTATGTCTACCCTTCACGGTTAGAACCTGCCATGCCACTTACATTATAGCAAACTATCCACATTCCCACTGTATTCCGTCGTCGAGAAGTAATTTCACTCAAACAACTTCTTCCAGCCAACCACTGCCCTGTGGAACAGACTCTGTAGAGGATGTTTCCCCGATCACTACAATCTCAACCTGTTCAAGCCTAGAGTTAACCATTCTCTTCACCTCTTATCCATATAAACTACCCCTTAACGTAATCTTCAGTCTTAGGTGACCCTTGGTTTTGTACAGAGTGAACCTTACTGTAAAAGAAGAAAGGAAAAAAAAACTGGGAAAGCCATGAGCTGATCATGTGGGCAACGACGGACTTTTAAAGAAAATAGAAACAGAAAGGTCACTAATTACTATCAGAAAAAACAGCTGAAATTTCTAGTCATATAACGGGAAAGAAGGCTTGGAAAATCTGACACTCTCAGCACATATTGGAGGCAAGAGGAACAGAGGAAAACATAGATCAACCTACCTAATGAGCTTGTGCAAATAGGTGGAAGAAAAGGGTTTAGGAGAGATAGCAAAAGGTTAAAATGAACTAAGAGCTACAAAGGACAGAGATTCTGTAGTAGAACCATGATCATCCACGTTCCGAAGGGACGCAACACATCGAAACAGAAGAAGAAGACTTGAGTGGAAGTTAGGTCTCATAATTCCGTTGTTGAAATAGTAAATTGTGACCATAAGTTCTATTCTAATAGCTTACTCTCCTGCACTTTTCTCGGGGGGGGGGCACTCTTACGTCTTACTACTTCCCTGTCAACTTCTATGTACCGTGTCCCTTGAGAACGTGGACAATTATGACTCGTTTTCCCCTTTTCCATGTCTCCCGTCTTCACCCGTTCCGCCATCCACTCATGTAGTTGACATCTATGCTTGGCCTACTCATTGGATGACCATTTAAGCATAACATACGTGTTGCCTCTTTTAAACGTCTGATAAATAGAAAACAACAAAGACGAGGAAATTGTTCCGAATAATCGAGTGTACAATGGCTGTAAAATCTCGCCTTAAAAATATCTAACAAAAATCAAGCAAATATTTATTGCTTGGTTAGTTTTTTCTTTCTTTTTTATCGTATGATTCTCTGAAGAAGGCGTTTAATTCACAATGTGATAGCCGTTAAAAAACACATGCGTTGAAGTTCACACATAGGAACACACACACACACACACACACACACACACACACACACACACAAAAGAGAGAGAGTGCTTTCATAATTGGATGGCCGTCAGTTAGAGACTTCCACTGCTTTCCCCTATCTCACTAGTTCTCAATATATCATGTGAGGGTCAAGTTTTCTAAATCCACTTTCCTCATTTTGTGTTCAAGAAATTTCAGCTGCCTCTTCTGTGAGTGTTGTTTTTTCTGTTACCATTTTCTTTTAGACTTACTTGCCCCGTCCATGGAATTCTCAGTATCCTTCTGTAGAATCACGTATTTGTTGTATCCAGTTTCCTCTTCATCAGTGGTGAGATTGTCCGGCATTCACGGTCATACAAGAGGACGGATATCCCGTCAACTACAATCTTCAAAAATTTAAATACAATATCAATCGTCAATTTCCTTGAATCTTGTTCTTTTATAATGTCCTTGCGGATTTGTGGCTTTTATTCCTTTTGAAAGATCACAACATTTCGAGCATTCTCTCCTCCAGTTTTCTTTTATAATGTCCTTGCGGATTTGTGGCTTTTATTCCTTTTGAAAGATCACAACATTTCGAGCATTCTCTCCTCCAGTTTTCTTTTATAATGTCCTTGCGGATTTGTGGCTTTTATTCCTTTTGAAAGATCACAACATTTCGAGCATTCTCTCCTCCAGTTTTCTTTTATAATGTCCTTGCGGATTTGTGGCTTTTTATTCCTTTTGAAAGATCACAACATTTCGAGCATTCTCTCCTCCAGTTTTCTTTTTATAATGTCCTTGCGGATTTGTGGCTTTTATTCCTTTTGAAAGATCACAACATTTCGAGCATTCTCTCCTCCAGTTTTTCTCTCCTCCAGTTTTTCTCTCCTCCAGTTTTTCTCTCCTCCAGTTTTCTCCATTGTCTGACTCGTATTCGTTACCTGTCATATTTGTTTAGTGGCATATCAACTTTTTATGGGTCATTTAATGCTGAAATTTAATTTTCTTAGGAACTTGGAAGTAATAAAAATGTGATTTTGAATCCACAATTGAATAAATGGTAGCTTTTGTACTCATACATATGGACATATTTCTGATTACTAGAGGATGTGATGTGAGGTTTAGATTTTTTTTTTAAGTTATATTTTGGAACAGAGTTTCATTTAAGAAATTTTCGGATATTATATGGTTTAATGTCATGAAAGTTCTTTCATGTTGTTTGTTTTGAGTATTTTAAACGGATTTAGCTGAAGTCATATCTATTGTTGGTAATTTTTTATATAAACATGTATTGTTGGTAACTCTATTATAAAAATGTATTTTTATTCTTTCATAGTGTTTTGCTTTTGTTTGGTGGGGTTCACTATTTGGGAGTCAGTCTGAGGACAAAGCAGTGGATTGAGAAAGAGTTCAGTCAGTTATGTGCCATACGTGATACACGCTTAGGTGATCATGTATCTTTCGATATATGACTAACGAGGAAGATTTTTTCCCCTTAGTAGCTTGCCATTTCTTTCTGCAGTAGACCAGTTGCCATCCAACACTATAGAACCCGGTATGTCCTCCTATTTACCCATAGCTGGCGGGGGGAGAAGAAGAGGATTCATACCTTTCCCAAGGGTATTAGCAAGTAAGTGAATGTAATAGATCTGACTGGAATTCGAACTTTGCGCTCCGATTCCTAAATCCGAGCCGTTAGCTATTACTCCACCGAAGAGAGAGTTAGACAAGTCTAATGGTGATTTCGAAGGTACGGCAGCTCGGAAAACTCACTCTGATTGTTCTAAGAAAAAGAACTCCCGAATTTGTTGAAGGCCTCATACTCAACACGGATGCCTACATTAAATGTCTTGAGGAGGCAGTGAGGCCTGGGTCAAGAGGGTTGCTGCAACAGGACTCTGCACCATGCCATACAAGCAGGTGAACCCAGTAATGAATGTCAAATAATTTCTGCGACGATATCACCGCTTACTTTTGGCCACTTAATTCCCCTGACTGCAACCATGGAGTGCAGTTGAACGAGAGACCAACATTTGAGAGATTCATTGATTTGTTTGTTTAGCGACATATCAACTCCTTATGGGTCACTTAATGCTGAAATTTAATTTTCTTGCGAGAAGTAGTAAATTTTTACAAAAATATATTGCTGGTAATTATTTTACTATGAAAATGTATTGCTGGTATTTTTTTGTACTTTCTTAGTGTTTTGACGTCAGTTTGGGAGTTAACTATTTGCTCATAATTGGGACACTAAAATGTCCTACCCCCACCCTGGTCAGGATGGACCTAGAAACAACCTCCCGATCAGAGACCTTGCTGCCAGATGTAGTTTATCGTCTTAACCAGGACGGCATACTCATTAACAGCTCTTTTGTAATCAGTAGCTTCCATATGTAGTTGACATCTATGCTTGGCCTACTCATTGGATGACTATTTTAGCATAACATACGTGCTGCCTCTTTTAAACGTCTGATAAATAGAAAACAACAAAGGCGAGGAAATTGTTCCGAATAATCGAGGGCACAATGGCTGTAAAACCTCGCCTTAAAAATATCAAACAAAAATCAAGCAAATATTTATTGCTTGGTTAGTTTTTTTCTTCCTTTTTTATTGTATGATTCCCTCAAGAAGACGTTCAATTCACAATGTGATAGCCGTTAAAAAAAAAGAGAAAAGAACTATAACGTTGGTGAAAAGAAAATGGTTTGGCATTATTTTCAAGTGAGAGGGTCGGCATTACCCGCCTACATCGTCGAACTTGTACTGCATAACCCCAAAGCGTCTGTAACTTGTGTTGGAAAGCTAGCCGTAAGCTGTGTACAAGAAATGAAAACAAAATTCTTAACGCTTCGATAAGCTTGGCTAAGTTCAAAACACATTTTAGTTCTGAGCTTAAAAGGAACAAATAGGCTAAGTAATATGGACGTGATTCTTACTGAGTCTTTTTTTAATAACTGAAAAATCACTTTAATGATATGAGCGGAAGCATTAAGAGTCATTTGTATGTATTTTCATATTGATATCCGGATAGTTTGGAGCAAACCCATGCGTTTAAGTTCGCACATAGGAAGACACAAACACAAACACATACACACACACGCACGCACACACACGCGTAGAGAGAGAGAGAGAGAGAGAGAGAGAGAGAGAGAGAGACAGACAGACAGACAGACAGACAGAGAGACAGACAGACAGATAGACAGACAGATAGACAGACAGAGAAAGCTATCGAAATTTATATCCCTCTCCTTATATTCGTATCTATGTAACTATTTCTGTCACTTCATATCTATCTATCTATCTATCTATCTATCTATCTATCTATCTTCGTACGATCCTCACTGGGTGCTCTTTAGAATATTAGACACTAAATAACCCAAGAAGATTTGACATCTTAAAATCAAGTAAGATAACTTCATCCTATCTATCTATCTATCTATCTATCTATCTATCTATCTATCTACTTTTTTGTTAATTATTTAGTATGCCTAAATTCATAAAGACAATGTGCCAAAGAGGAAAGCTCATCAGAACAATTACCAAGAAGATATTTACAGAAAATATATAAGGCTGCTACGTTACGGTAGTGGGAAAGTGACTGAAACCGAGATGCCAGACCAGGAGCTATAACATTGCAGATTCTTCGTAGTATTTTATCAAGAATTTTAAAATTCACAGCAGAAGCGCCGTAGCGGATGCCACAGCAATATTCTATGAATGGACGAATAGTAGACTTCTTAATGTGTATCATAGATTCTGGCGAGAAAGATGGTCTAGCGCAATAAAGTAGTTGTAGGATACCTACAGACGATAGTATGTTTCCATTCGCATAAATACAGTAGTAAACACTGTATGTTGGTCTGCAGTTGGAGATTCGTCTCCAGCTGTGCTGGTTAAACTCTCTGCTTCCGGACAGAGAGCATCTCCAGACGAGCCTATGTCAAAGGGCAGAGTTTCGTCTCGGGAAACAGCGACCTGACCCTGTTTTATACTGGGTCTACGGGGAATTTTTGGCCGAGCCTACAAATTCGAATACCCACATTAAATTCGGCCTTGTGCCACATCTGACCACGTGAGGTGGTTGGTAGATATACTGCAGTGGAATTAATTTGACTCACTTCTAGTAGTTGACTACTTCTTCTTCGCGCCGCTGGCGAATCTTATATGTGTTGTTCATGTCCTAAGTATTATCGTTCATTACCAACCTTCGTTTGATTATTCTATTCAGTAACCTTCCTTAGGTTACAACAACAGTGAACCAACTTTCCCAGTAGCAGAACGTGCAATTAATTCAATATAATCTTTCCACTTTATATCAGTGGAAAGTGTTAATCCGTGAAATCGCAAGTGTTCACTCTCCCGGGGGTTAGTATCCGCCATGCTGATGGAAGGCAGGAAGATATCTCGCGGATGATTGATTGAGATCAGTTTCGTTTTTGTTAAAATTAGCAAGCCATTTCTTTCCCCAATTAACAACAAAATGGGATCAGCTGCTAACGTAACCTTATCAAACTTGCCATCAAGACAGGGGTAAATAAAGGATGTTTCATTAAGACAGATTATATATATATATATATATATATATATATATATATATATATATATATATATATATATATAAGGGTGTTTCATTAAGACGAATTAAAGTCAGCAGTAAATAAATCAGTGTTATTGGTGAAAATTTATTTATTTCTCTATTGGATCATGTTATTTAAGTCATGGCAGTTATAGTTGAAAAATAATATCGCTCAAATGTCTGCCAAGGCTTATATATATTAATTTCATATATTAATAATAAATAATAATATTAATTTTGAATATTAAAAAATAAAATGAAATATTAATATATTAATATAAATTAAATTGTGAAAATGGGTGATCTTCAACTATCATTGACATCAATGGAAAAATTTAGCACAGCAGTGTCAACTACAGGATTTCATTGAATAAATGTGCACACAAAAAAAAATTTATTAATTACTTGTTATGAGTTATTTTAAAGGGTGTTTCATTAAGACGGATCAAAGTCAGCAGTAAATAAATCAGTGTTATTGGTGAAAATTTATTTATTTCTCTATTGGATCATGTTATTTAAGTCATGGCAATTATGTGTGAAAAATAATATTGCTCAAATGTCCGCCAAATCTGAAAGAAAAAGAAAATCATTAGACACTTAAACTTAATTCACATTTAAAATTGGTCCAAGTTATTGGAAACTGTTTAGTTGTCATCAACATAGACACACCTAGTTAAGCATTGATGACATCAGGATGGTTGTTGAATGAAAATTAAGAATAATGTAGGTCCAAGGATAGAGCCTTTGTGAAACGGTCACATTAATGCAAAAAGATCGAGAAGAGTATCCGTTCAAGACAAATTTAATTTTTAGAATTGATAAGAAAGATTGAAGCAAATTAAATATCAGTCTAGAAATACCATGACCTTTCAACTCGTGAAGAGATCGGTATGTGAAACCCTGTCAAACGTCTTCGAGATATCCAAAGCAATCGAACGACATTCCCCATTCTCATCTAAAGCTTGATAGCAGCTTTCAGCAATAACCGTTAAAAGATCAGTAGCTGACCTTGAGAACTGAAAGCCATGTGACTTTTCTAAGATGCTTAATCAATTTGGAGTTGATTAGAGCCTCTAGTACTAGGCCCAAAAATAAATAGAAAGGCCGATAGTTAGAAGCATCTGACGGATCGTTAGAGTTCTTAAAGACTGGAACAACAGAATAGGATTTTCAACAAGCAGAAAGGTAAGGGGCAGCCAGCCATTTATTGTAGAGTTTAGAGAGGACAGGAGCCAGTTCAGGCGCACATTTCGTAAGAACTTTTGCAGGGATAACATCATGTCCACATGCTTTGTGGATCCAGTTTAGAGATGATAGCAGAAACCACGGACGGTGTTATATTCATATCACGCAATAGAAATTCACTTCTAAATGTAAAGTTAAGCAAAAGTACTCCACAAGAGTCAAGAGTAGAATTGAAAGAGAATTTACGAGCAAAACATTGTGCTTTAATGTCGGCTTTAAATAATCACCAGGGCGAACACAAAACATAAAATTCAGCGGAGATAACATATTGACTAAACGCTAGTGAGTATCCATTATCTGCTAATTAACAATCGCAGGACAAAAGCTGACCCTCCCCCCCAAAAAAAACCCGTACCACTAAAAATAACAACCCCTTTCTTCAATGGAAGTGCATTACATAATATAGTGTCGGACACCTGAGAATAGCGGAATATATGTACACATAAAATGCTGAGGGGTGGCCAGCGTTGGAGACACTTTCATTGTGAATAATAATCATATTTAGTCTATAAAGAAATGCGCATATGTGGCCTCTCCCAAATTCATTCCGTACCCTTTGTAGGTATTTTTTACATTATTAAAACAGCCGAAACACACACACACACACACACACACAGACACACACACACACACACACACACACACACATATATATATATATATATAGTCAAATTCGGTCGAATCCATTACATTCTACGTGCTAATACCATTGGGAAAGGTGTTAATCCTCTTCTCCCTTCAGCTATGGGCAAATAGCAAGACAAACTGGGTTCTATAGCCTTGGATGGCAACTGGTCTAGGAGAAGAAAAACTCAGAATTACAAACTTGCAGAGGGTTGTTTGGGGACAGTGTGGCACGTAGTGCACCAAGTCTCTGTATTCGGCCCTGCAAAAAAGTGTGGTTGGTTTCTCACGAAGCCTTCGCCACTATAATCAAAATCATATGTGCTGGTGTCTGGCTGTTGGTTCCTAGGAACAGAGCTATTTGACTCTGATACGTCGAATACGGCGGGAAAGTACAACATTGGTCAATATCTCATTGAATCGTGAAAACTAAGAGTGACTATGCAGTGTTGGTCCCTATGTCCATACTGTCTATATGGATAAAAGCCTTGATACGGAAATCGCTTCCTTAGAAATATAGCAATTCTTAAACAATATATGTATATATAAATATAGATAAATCAAACGACCAGTTATAAGCAAGCGTATACGCGGGCAAGCAGGTGAGACCTTGTGCCCGTCGAGCTGTAATTCAGTGAAAGTTAAGTCGCACACCAACACGTAGGTATTAGTATATGTACTATATATATATATATATATATATATATATATATATATATATATATATATATATATATAGTATTAGTGGGTATTATGAGTAAACCTGTAATCACAAAAAAAGCAAGATGAAAGCCAGAGATATTATTAAAAACATCAGATCTGTGATATCTCCGAGGGGGGTGTAGGCGTGGAAAAGCATTTAACCCAGCCCACGTCCCCAAATCACTATTCTGATGTTTGGTCAATGTAATAATTATTTTAGGAAGTGGGTTGGGTCGAAAACTTTTCTGCACCCACGCGTATACATGCACAGACATGTATGCGTGTGTGTGCGTGTGTTAAAAAGGAAATAAGCAATCGACAAATGTTGCAGGACGTGCATACACACATATGTACACACACGCACGCTTGTCTCATCAAATTCTCACGCGGTGACACGTGACGTGTTAATACACTCAAGCATAAAAATAAACTTTCATATCAAACTGAAATTATAAAGAGCTAGTGCTGTCTACAGTTTTCATATAGGATTAGGATTTCCCTAATAGTAGATATATATATATATATATATATATATATATATATATATATATATATATATATATATATATATATATATATGTGTGTGTGTGTGTGTGTGTGTGTGTGTGTGTGTTTAAAAAATACCGTATGAACAGAGAATATAATAAATAATTGTTGGACTTAATCCATTTCATTATATGTGTGTGTGTGTGTGTGTGTGTGAAACTGTTTCAACATGTATTCTCTCTCCTTATACACATACGCACACACACATATATGCGTGTATGTGTGAATGTGTGTGTGTGTTATAAGTATGACACTATTTCCGCTTTGCAGTCAAGCACCTACAGATTCAGTCTCTATGCATTTCCACACACACGCACGCACGCCCTAGGTAAAATTTTAATGCATCACTCATCAGCATATATGAATAGTCGAAGCAAAACACAACATACATGTTCTGAAGATGGCGTTGAAACGTGAAACAGACCTCAGTATTGAGCTCAATATCCACTTTTATATTTACATTCGCTCTACTCCGAATGCTGACCACTTTTACTCATATACAGAGCATACCTTAGAACTATATTTTTATCATATATATACAAGGTGCGATGGATAAATTGTCGTCTAAATTACGCAAAAAAAAAAAATGAAAATAACAGTGACATATCATTTTAACAAATATATTTACCACAATTACACAAAAATATCTTGAAATGCTAAAGATTAAATTTATTCAATAAAATCACCATTCGGTTCAACAACGGCCTCCAGACGACTTCGAAATTTCCTGTAACTCTTCTGTTCAAGTTGGGGAAGGCCTACCATAATCCTTGCCTTCAGTTCATCTTTGGTGTTACAAGGAGTTTTTTTTTATTGGTCTCTCGCTCAACACATTATAATCAAGGGGGTTGAAGTCTGGAGAGTTAGATGTCCAGATATAAAGAGTGATGTGGCCGCAGAAATTGTCTGACAGCCATAACTGTGTTCTTCTGCTTGTGTGGCATGGTGCAGAGTCCTTTTGTCAGACATAGGGTCTTCCAGCAGCCACCCTTTTGACTCAGGACAGCACTACCTCCTCAAGGCACTTTATGTAGGCCACCATGTGAGTTTGAGGTCCTGTTGGAAATTGAATGGAGGCATAACGTCGCTCTCACTAGCGATCACACCATGATGCTGACTGGATATATCATTCAACTCTTTTCGAATTCTCTGCACTGTCTTCAGATTGACATCCAAACATTCTGATATGTTCGTATTCAAGCTTCCGGCGCAAATTCCAAGCAGTAAAGCATGTGTTTCCAAATTTCTGCTGGAGTGCATCAGTTGCTCTTTTTCTCACAGACGGTGCCCAACTGACCCTATTATACTGTGCAGTCGATAAAATCAAAAAACAAACATATATATATATACAATGGGTACTTAAATAAGTACACTTGAATAAATGCTCTTTTTTGACGTGACAGCTTTTTAATTCATATAGGCGTAATAATATAATAATAACGTAATAATATAATAATAATAACGTATAATAATATAATTATAGTATAAACGTAATAATTGCGACCTTCTGAATTTCATTTTATTCATTAATTAAAAAAAAACAGACAAGCGTGTCTGAGGATTTGAAAAAAACAAAACAAAAAAACTGCTGTTCTAATAGGATTTTCCTACAAATCTATCTCTAGGATATAAATCTAGTAAGCGACAATCGAAGCAGATGGACGGCAGCAACAGAGGACCACACCGGGCGCAACACCTTTCCGATAAGCACAAGTAAGTGAGGCTGCAATTCGCTATAACAGAAAACGTTGCCTGGTCGGGTGAATATCGATTTCTGCTAATATCACGCCATAATATGACGTAAACAACATGAAAGTGAGGTGGTGGTTAAATGGTATCGGATATATTGTAACCCTTATTACCAACAAATCAAATGTCATATCTGAGTTGGAGCGGCTCGCTCATCACTTACCTGTCTAGATAGAGTTAGGAAGCGTCTACGCGGCCTTGTGGATGATGAATTATTTTCCACCTTGCAAACCCTTTTCCTAAGGACAAAACGTCGCTAACTTCTTGCTACTCTATCATTATTTACATGGCATGTATTCTGTCGACCGACATTCTTTGGTTCCACCAACCTTGAGCTTTGCAACTGGAAGCCGCTGCGTCACATACACAAGGGTGAATCATTTCCATTTTCTTCGTATTACATTAGTAAGAAGTAAGTTCCACTCAGACAGCCTCTTCTCAGCAACGGTGGCTTTGTGGAATAGGTTACTAGGTTCCAAGCAGCATGTTTTTCAAATCACTAGAATCTTGACCACTTCAAATCTCTAGTAAACCATTATCTTTCCTCTATAAACCATGAAAAGCGTCTTTTCTTACGCTTATACGATACCACACAGTAACTCAACAGTTCTCTAACTTAAGTGTCTCTTAGGTCTTGTTATTGGTGAATATTAATATAAAAAGTATATCCATTTGAAATGTTATTTACGATTAATTTATTTTTTCCTCGGTTCACCTAGCGCCCAGTTCACACCACTCTCCGGTCTTTTGAACAGGAGTAGAGGGTTATTCCTTGCTGCTTAAGGTTGGGTGTCCGGCTCTTTCTAAAGTCTTCTTCATTCTCTTTTACTTTTAGTAGCTTTTTGCATCTTAGTGACATTATTGCCGTACATGGGGTGAATTGAATAGACTCCAATGTACAAGACCCGGGGGCAACTCGATGTAAGGTAGGTTACATTAAAAGGCAATTTATGCGGATAGGAAGGCAAGATAACGGCTAATGTGACTCTACAGAAGGATACTGAGAATTCCATGTACGCAGTGAGTAAGCAACGAGGAAGTCTTAAAGAAAATAATAACAAAAAGAATACTTCTACTCAAAATCAGAGAGTTGCAAACACTTCTCCAATAGTTATATATATATATATATATATATATATATATATATATATATATATATACATATATACATATATATACACACACACACACACACACACACATATATATATATATATATACATATATATATGCTTATATAAATTTATTTCGAACAATGCTCTGTAAAACTTAGCCTCCAGTAATCTATCTATCTATCTATCTATCTATCTATCTATCTACACCTGTATTATATATTCTTTTTTTTCTCTTTTCCGCCATTTTCCCTGCCCTTTTTCAGTTCGAACCTCTTATTTTCTTTCTTTTTGTTGTTATCTTCTCTTCCTGCAGTTTTGGCCACATTCCGATTAAGTTTCTGACATTTTTTATGATGCCGATACGCTTGATGTTTGTTCTTAATTGTCAGCCGTGAATATTAAAAGTTGCTCTTCAAAGGTCTTTCTAACTCGCTACGTTGTCATGGTCATAGGCCGCTCTTCTTCTCGTTTGGTTTTTTTTATTTTATTTGCGGCCAATTCTCGAACACATGATATCTTGTGTGTAAAAGTTTTACGTTTCTCCGACAATAATGTAAGACGAACTGTTTCAATCGAACATCTTGGCTTCATTACTCGCGTTTATATCCTCACGTACCTTTTCTATCGGCATATATGGTTCAATGGTTAAAGCAAGAAATGGCGAAGGGGCTTACGTCAATCGAGGTTAAACTTCAACTTTACTAACTGCTCTTTCAAATCACTCGACAAACGCAAAGAGGCTTTGAAGTAATATTTTTTGTGTGTTTGGGGGCGTAAAACGACATTCCCAGATAGTCTGTGGTTTTCAGCCCAACAGTCAAATTGAGCCGGCGTTTTTGTTTGACACCTACATCAGCCTTAAAGAAACAACGGCATACAAAAAAAGAAAAAAAAAACTAGTTAGTCTGTTATAAAACAAAAGTAATGAGCCTGTTGCCGTTGTGGTCTGTCCTTCATTTACCTATTATTTTCTTTTAATCATTTCACCCCATGTAAGGCAATAAAGCCACTAAGGCACAAGGGGTTACTGAGTGTGAAAGAATAAGGAGAGAAAAGGAAGCATTAATAAGGAGCGAGAACAATAGAAGAGTAATCAAGAGGACAGTATATAACGATTGACAATTACATTTGAATTTTTGAAGATCAAAGGCAATAAAGCCACTAGGACACAAGAAGTTAATGCGTGTTAGAGAATATGAGAAAAACTACGAAGGAGAGAGGACAATAAAAAAATAAGAATTAAGAAAATAGAAGATAACGATTGACATTGCATTTAAATTTTTGAAGGTTAAAATTGTCTAGAAAGCATGGAGCCGGAAGACAACCTCACAATCGAGAAATGCAAGAAAAAAAAACCCGTTATCCTTGCCACCAAATCTAGTGCTTAAATTCATAAAGAGTCTAGGGTACAATGGCGAAGGTTTCATCCGAACAGTTACCATTTATAGCAAAGATATGGAGAAGTTACCTTATGGTGTTTGGAAAGTGACTGAAGCTGAGATGCCAGGTCAGGACCAATAATATTGTTGATTCTTCTTTGCAGTTTATCAAGAATCTCTAAATATACCACAGGAGCACCGGACAATAAGTGGCAGCTATATTCAATGCATGGACGAATGGTAGATTTATAAATGTCAGAGATTCTGGAGAGAAATATTGTCTAGCATGACACGGTGAACCAAATTTCTTAGCAGCAGACCTAACAATGGATTCAATATAATCTTTCCACTTCATGTCAATCGAGAATGTTCGCCCGATAAGGCGAAACAACTCACATTCCTGAAGATTAGCATCAGCCATACTGATGCAAATCAGGAAGAAGTCTTTCAGATGATTAACAGATAGCAGTTTCGTTTTGGAGCCGTTAAAGTTAACATGACAACTTTCTATTTTCATTTTTTTATACTCCAGTTTACTTAATGCAGGGCTCGAGAGCCATTCAAAGTAGGGGTGAGAGATGACTGGAAATAAGGAGATAGTTTTCACCTATCTTCCAGTTTACACTTCTCCTCGTTTTTTTGTATAGGTGAAGAGATTTATCCCTTGTTTCATCTTCAGAATTAAGTTTCTGGTTCCTTCTGAAGTTTTACTTTTGCACACTTCTAACGTCTCAGACGGGCTCTGAAATGTTATCCACTAATTAAATCTTGACCTCTTCAAGTATAGAGTTAGCCGCTCTGCATAGTCCCAAGAATTTCACGTCACTTGTCCTTTCTTACGCTCATGTAACACCACACAATAATCCTCTACCTTGAGTAGTTATTGGGCCTTTTATTGGGTGAACATTAGTAAAAAATATAGGTTTAGCCTGGATTTGAAGACGTTTAAGATTGATGTGGTCATGGAAGCATCGCCCCTAGAGTGTAACGGTTTAAGGGAAGAATCTGTCTGGGTGGAACACAAAGAGACTGGGGATGGTTTGCCACCGTGAATATGACATGGTGGGGTTCCTAGCTGTGAAAGTCTGAACTGGTGGGACTAAGGAATATAACTTTAGAATATTTACCGTAGTAATAGCGATAGACTAGTGGAAAGTTACCAAAGTCTTTTGTTTTCACTGGGATAATTCATCGCTCACAAGGTGGCGAAAAATGTTTTTGAACTCTGTCAAGTCTGTATATTGAAGGCTTCCCGGATATGGCAGCAAATGTCCATTTTTGGTCTGATCTGACTCTTGTAAAGATTGAAAATACCCTAATCCTGTTGTCATCAACAGGAGTTGGGTATTTTCTGGAACGATATAAAGGCATAATCATTCTTCCAGAATCTTGAGAATAGTTTTACAAAATGTTTAGGCAATAATAATAATAATAAAAAATCTGGCGAGTTTCGAATTTACATTCGCGATCGTAGAATTATAGTCTTGGAGTTGAGATACTGATCAGTAACTCACCAGAATTATTGGGGCTTCACATGCAGTCATAGTAGCAATGGGTGTATCAAGGGAAAATTAACCCGGGGACTCTAATCCTCCTCAGTCTAGTTTTGAATTCAATGTTCCTTCTCCCAGACTGGTTGCCACGCAAGGCTTGACTAGATGAGTGACAGAACTAATTTCAACTCGGAACTAATTTCACGTCGGAATTAATTCAAACTCAGAACTAATTTCAACTCGAATTAAAAACCCTAATTTTAACCCTAACCCCTGACCTTAACCCGTAACCCTAACCCCTAACCTTAACCCTAACCCTTAGTACCGAGTTGAAATTAGTTCCGAGTTGAAATTAGTTCCGTGTTGAAATTAATTCTGGACCCGACTAGATAGCCCAGTCTGTCATGCTATTAACGACTAAAGAAAGGGAGAGAAATGGATTGATACCTTTAGATAGTTAGCAAAGGAGAAGAGAACAGCTGGAGTTTGAACCTGAAACGCCATTCCCACTTTTTTTTCGCCGATGCCACCGCCAGGATAAACTCAGATAAATATCAGTAAAATGATACAACTTTGCCGAGAATAGAGAAAGTTCAGGACTAAGGCTCTTAAGAACGACAACAAGGATTTAGTCCGGATCAAGTAACCTTCAAAGAGTCAAGGATTTTGATGAACCTGGAAATATCCCGGGTCGACATTATGTTCTATGAGTGCATGTGTGTAGGGGAGGGGGTACAAGTCGGGTAAGGAACGGCACTGATCATCTAGTTTGAAGTATGAGACGAAGTTCACAGCAAACAGCTTAGCCTTGATCAAAGTAAATAATCTCAGGGCTATTAATAATATCCACAGACGATTTGCCTCTGCTAAAGTGATTTGCCAGAACTTAAGGTATCTGCCTAAGAATATACTCCGATCATTTTGTGAACATCTATACCGATGATACGATTATATATGTGCAGCTCTAAACGATGATCAGATATTTGGCAGCTGATCCGATCTAGCACGACCCCCCCCCAGTGGGATAAGAACTGGCTGGTTACATTCAATGCCTTGAAAACCAAACTAGTTACATTCTATCATCGCTAATGAGACCGAGAACTACCCCCAGTCACGATGAATTGATATTCTCTCGGAGAGGCACCTTGCCTTGAGAAAGTATTGGGTCTCAAATTCACACCTGACCTCAAAGGGGACACGTACATGCGAGCCATCGCTATAGATGCAGGTAAAATGGTCGGCTCCCTGTACTGCTCCTGTAAGTACCTGACTCCACATGCTATCCTCTAAAATGGAGTGTCATATTTGGGCGGGAGCATTCCAGACCTCACTCTCCAGACTCGAGTCCAAAAGCGTCTTTCACAGGCGGAATGTGGCAAACCTATTCTCGGACGAACTCTATTTCTTGGTTCCGCCAATTCTAAACTTTACAGCCAAGAGCAGCCATGCCACTTACATTGTAGCAAATCATCCTCATTCCCTTCGTGCTCAATCGGTGAAAAGTAATCTCCACTCGATCAGCTTCTTCCTGCGGACCACTGCTCTGTGAAAACGACTTTCAACAGGATGTTTCCCCGATTACTCCAATCTTAACCTGTTCAAACCTAGGATTAACCGTCATCTTCCTCACCTACCGTACAAACTCTTTACTAACGTAATCTCCTCCCAGAACGTTTTTGCAATGATTATAGGCAGTTCTGAACGTGGCATAAGTTTTACTAGGCGATGGTGATAGAGATGTTAGTAATAGTTACGTTACACTATCGCAGTAGTACATTCAGGTGCGTACCAGACAGTGACGACCCTAAGATTGCTGGCACTCAGGGCCAGCTGAATTTCGGTGCCTTACAAGTATAACTTTTTAAAAAATTTTTCAAGGAGAAAAACTGAAAATATAGAATAACGCGGTTATTACAATATACAACTTAATACAAGCTAAAGAAAACATTCATTTTCCCACTTGTAGTATCATATGCAAATTAGATAGACAAATATAAATAGAGAACAACTGGCGAACATGAGAAACAGTTATACCTAACAAACCCAGTTGTTATTCAGGACGTGGAGAACTCTACTACGATTCCTACTACGCAAAGAGATATGCAAAACATAACCCTACTTGTCATTTTTCTAGCCTTTAGACCTATTAATCTTTTCATGGCTCTTTCTACACCTATCTTCTGTACAAGATCATTTCTACTGATAAAATAGCCAAAGAATTTAATCTGTCTTGATTCATGGGCGACTGCAAGTATGTTTTAATAAGCTTTAGATTTAGATCCCAAACACATGACATGGCGGCATGAGGGTACCCTTGAAGGCATCTGGGTGACTGCCCCAGTTGCCAGTACCTTGAGCCGGCCTTAGCACCAAAACTGACTATTTGGTTTTTGTTTATTCTTCTCCAAAGGGATAACACTCCGAGTACTAGGAAGAATAAATGCAGAAATAAAGGAGGCTAT